ATCTTCTTAATATGAATAAACACGAACTATATGCATCATGAAACCAAAACAAGGAATTCAAAACTGACCAGACTGCTCTGCATATATATATTTAATTCAGGATTTTCTCCGAAATATACCTGACAGTGTTCTATCCTCAGACATGCACGGACTGTGGATGGAAGCTGTGGATACAGAAAATCGGGCACATAAAATTGAAGCTATCAAAAGGTTTGTAAAAGCCTTTGTAAAAGCTTCTTTTGGTGGGAGAAGGCAAAACATAGGGCCCTAATCATAGACTTCATCTTTTGGGAGACTCCTGTTGCTGTTCCAGGCCACAGTAGAGCTGTTGCTGGTTGCTACTGTCACTGGTCAAAACCTTTCAGAGGTCTTTTGTTAACATTTCTGCCACAGGAAAAGAAAATTCTTTTCTGATGACCAATTCAAATTACCAGAACCAGCAAACTGAAAAACCACAGTAATTCAGTCACCAGAAGTACATCAGATATTAGTGGAATTAGATCTTTAGCAATGGTAACTTTTTTTCTATGTGCACAAAATAAAGATAATCATATTGGCAGTTAGAAGAAATACGCCTACCAAGATGGTGACTGGAACCTTGAAAACAGCTCTACTGCCTTGAAACTGCTGCCCCAAGCAAGAAAAGTGTATTAGGAGCAAGCAGGATAAGCAGTATATTGAATCTCTTCTTGATAGTGGCTTTTGACCCTTGCTGTTTGACCTGAATCTCCTTCTTGCATTGTCTCTATAGCACAGGACACAGGCAATGGCATTGTCTCATGCGCTGCTGGCATGGAGCTGTATGCAACTCCTTTGGGTGGTCTTTATTTTGTTAAGACTTCTACCCACAAGTTGTGGGTATAAGTCCCTTGGTCTCCCCCCCCAGGCTTTGTGAACAGAATGATTGGTCAATATGAATGTAAAACTGTGGCTCTCACATACATTGAAGAGGGAAGGGTCTTACTTTATTATCAGATGAGAATGTCTCAGACTGGTTATAAAAGGGCAGAAGGGGACAAAAGCTTTGGGAAGCAACCTCCAGTACTTGAAGACCAGATTTTTATAGCCTGTTACATTTGCTGTTTTCCTGTTATCACTCTCTTAACAGCCTAGTCAATCAGCTCCCAGACGCCAACCTCATCTTACTCAGACACCTCTTTGGAGTTCTTCATCACATTGAGCAGAATTCTGGTGTGAATCAGATGAATGCCTTTAACCTGGCTCTTTGTATAGCACCCAATATGCTGTGGCTACCTAGTCCCACTGGGCCTGAGGAGGAGAGCAGGTCTACAAAGAAGGTAATTTTTCATAGGTTTGACCTCATGATTGTCTTTACATTTATCACTTTCTATGGGCACTGTATTTTGTAGACTAAATGGAAGCATAGTTATCAGTGATATTGTAAGCTGAGAGGCATCAGAGCTTCATCCTTTCCCCTATGCAGTCATGCCCAAGCTAGTGAGTCAATTTAGCTACTTAGGTTATGTAGGGTGGAAAGGGAAGCCGTGGTTGCTTTACCAGGTGAAGTCCTTTATGGACAAGCATGTTCAAGAAAGATGGGGCAGCTGAAGTTAGACACTGCCAATTCAGCTGAATCTAAAGCTATCCTGCAGAGACAGAGTGAGCAATAAACATGATGGAGTATCAGAGGGGAGGAATGCTTGCTTGTAGTTTGTGAGGTGTTACCAATAGTAAGGAAAATCATAGAATGTTCTGTATCTGGCTCACTTCACCAATCCACATAGTTCATATTCCTTCCCCAGGTGTATTTAATAAATAAGTATTGCTGCATCCTTAACAACTTTTTGAGCAAATGATTCTGTAGGAAACTGCATCTTTGTCAAAGAAAAAAGAACTTTTGGGGACTTATTTGATTTGCTATATATTCATGAAACTGACTGTAAATTCATGTCTTTGCCAGGTAGCTATGTTAGTGCAGTTTCTGATTGAAAACTCAGCAGAGATTTTTGGAGGTGACATTGCTTCCTTGTTTCAAAGATCAGACAAAAAGGAATCCAAAAACTCTGAGGAATCTCTGGGTAAGTTGACCATACTGTATCTTCAAGAAAATGTTAAAATCTTGTAATAGATAAACTCTTCATGCAGAAGAGTTTGTTTCTCCTTCACTGCCAAAGAAAAGCACTGAAAAACAACAGGTTTGGATTTTCTCTTTCCCTGTAAGACATAGGCAAAAAGCAAAGGGAAAACAGAGGGCTGAGGTGTGACACCTCAAACACATCCCTGAATATGGTTGTCTTTCTCTGTGGCTGCTGTTCAATCTATTCCAGCCATTCCAAATCAAAGCACTATCACAGGAATTTAGTGTAGCCTTAGCAATGCCATGTTCCAGCAGTCTTTCAGATTAGTTCTACAGAGCTAAACCATAAGGTTGTATGGAAAGAGATCCAGTTGTTGACTACCCTGGTTTGTCAACCCAGAATTTTTGGTACTGTTCCCAGTACTGTTCTAGTCCCTGGGAAAATAATAGATCATCCTTGCTTTCCTGTCGGCAAAATGTGGATGATAGTATTTCCCCTGCCTTGATTGTAAGGTGCTGTATGCAGTTGGGAGACATAGGCAGCAGATAAATTTGTGTTCTCTGCCCTAGGCATAGGCTTGGCTCAGAATGATGATTCCTCCGATGAGCTGGAATTTTCTGCTTGTGACCCAGAAAGACCAAAGCATTGTCTGGTACCTGAAACAGATGCCATTTTTGAACAGTCTAGCAGCTTGTTACTCGATGAGGAGCAAGAAGACTGGGACTTGTTCAGTGAGATCACAGCCTGCTACCAAAGCAAAGTCCAGAATAACACCAGTGCGGATAGCTATGACCTCCTAGAAGAGGAGGGCTCTTTCTGCTCCATTGGCTCAATACGCTCACTCAGCCCAGCCAGGGACCGGTGCTCGTCAGAGCCCAGTGTCTGCCTTAGCTCCCAGCTTCCTGCTCAGAGCCATGAGCCCGTGGCTCGCCAGTCTAGCTGTGATGCAACCATCATGCACAGCCATACAGACTGCATCCACAGGCTCAAGCAACTACAGGTGGAGAGCCAGAAGTTGATTGATGAAGGCCTAAGCCCTGGGGGTAATAAGGTCAGGCAGAATTTGTGGCAGTCACCTCAGACCAGCTCTAGGGTGAAGAAATCCAGCCTGTCCAACAGGTCCAGCTTCTCTAGTCTGTCCTCCACCACCACATCCCCATCTGCCTCTTCACTTAGCTCCTTAGACAGTGCTTTCTCCTACTGCTCAGAGTCATCAGCTGTTAGTCCTACAGATGGCTCGTCCCTGCCATTCATGTTTGGCACATCTGCCAGACTTCATGCTGTGTCTCCCAAGATTGCCAAGAGATCTCCAAAAGAGTGGCACAAGTCTTTCACCTCGCCTATGCCTTTACATCTGTGTGACCTTGACAGTTTCAATGAGTGTGAACCCAAGGCTTTAGACAGCAGCCATTTTGGGGGGGAGAGGAAAAGTTCTGCATCTGTCAGCAGAGCTGCAGTGGGAAGCCCACTAACCAACACTGACTGGGAAAAAGAGGAGAGACAGCTGAGTTGTGCAGGGGGCTCTGGACCAGGGCTCAGAAGCCAGGACTGTGCCAAGGAGCTAGAACAAACTCCCGAGCCCTCAACTGGCAGCCCAACCGGTGAGAAATTCCCACCGATCAGCCAACAGCAGCACAGGGAGAAGGCAGTGAAGCACATTGAAATCAAAAGCATTGATGACTGCCCTCCAAGTCAGGAAAGCCTGAAGCGCACCAAGATAACCTTTTACATGGCCCCAGATAAAGAAAGCTGTCAGGCGTCTCCAGTGGAAGAGGAGTGTTCCAAGGCAAACACCAGCAGCAGCAACTCACCCAGTAGCAGCAATGAGCAAAGCCTGTCTAAGAGCTTGCAGACTGTGAGAGTCCATATCCCCCAGACAGTTTTCTATGGGCAGAATACCCCCCTTGTCCTGCAGTCCACCTCCAGGCGACACCACCATGAACCAACAATCCTGTCCTTACAGGCAGAGCGCAAAGAGAGTCCCCAAAGTTCCTCCACTCCCAGTGAGCTGGAGAGCAAGCAACTGGAAGTGGTGCAGGCACCAGTCCAGAGTAGGGGCTTCAACACATTCAGCCACACTATCCGTATCATCCTCCCTGCCTCCATTCGAAACACTGTCAGGGAATATTTCAAACACGATGAAACCAAGACCTGTCCCATGGCTGAGGCAGAAGCAGTGGAAAATGAACTTCTTCGGAGCAGGATGCAGTGGCTCAGGAGCCAGCCACTGGCAGAAGTGACCACGGAGGAGTGTGATGCAGTTGCATTTGCAGAAGAGACACTTGTCTAGAGAGATGACGGTGGAAGAACTGAATATTTTTTGTGTATATGCAGCAGAAAATATTCTGTAAGATATGATCGAGGTGTGAAGAATCTAGTGGGCTGCATTGGCAATAAGTGTAAAGTTACTCTAATGTGTATGTAATATAATGTGGGGGTCTACAATTCATTTTGATTGGGCTGGGGGGGAGGGCATCTTGTTTTTCCTTTACATTTTTTTTATACTTCTTCAGAGACTTCACTGACTAGGTGTCAATTGGTCTGAATGCCACCAGACTCCATCCCTGAATTAGCTGACATGTACAGAGTCTGATCCATTTCTTTTTAAAGCAGGAAAGGGAAATTCTGCTTTGTTTTCTCCAGTCACCAATGTGTGTGGATGACTGGAGAACCAGGACAGCAAATACTCCATCAGAATTAAGTTAAAGAATTTAAGCTTGCACAAAATTCTCTACTATTTGCTGTTCATTGTTACATGAACAGCTAGTGCTGTTCATTCATCCAAAAGAAGACCCTTCACCCCCATCCCACAAATCACTGCTTCTCTCTGCTCATCTTCCTTTTGTCCCCCAGTGGTAACAGTTTGCGTTCATTACTGCTTGAGAAAGAAACACCAAATGGAGCCCAGCTTTCATTGACAAGGCATATGTAATGTTTAACCCCAATTTTTTTGTGTGTGTGTTTTGTTTTTTTTTTTTTCCCAAGTTTATATTGATTCTCTCTTGTCATACCTCCTCCAAAGCTAGCATTTGACAGAGCCACAGTTACTATAAAGGGCACAGTTACTACAAAGAACATCAGTGAAGTTCTGTCACTTCAGAAGGGCTAAGAATGTCTGTGTTCTATGGTATTCTCTGGGAGCAGATGGTCCTTTCAGTCTCAGTAAAAGGTGACATTTTTCTGTGAATGATGGTGACATTTCAGACAGCCCTTTCCAGAGGACAGCAGTGAATGGGACTCCTAATCAAATCCCTAGTCATTCTGGGAAGGACTTGAGCAGTATTTGGCTTTAGCATGAAGTTAAGGAGTTGTGGAAGTAGTCAAGAATGTTGTTAAGTGGATGCTGCAGCAAAGTCCCATCCAGCCAGGAAGCTGACAGACACTCTATAGGCTAACTGTCCAGGTTTTGGCAGCAGCTGATGTCAGAGTAGTGAGATCCCACACATCAAAGACCATAGCCCATGGCACTCCAGCAGAATTAAATACGGAAAAGTGACAGGCAGGGATGTGTTAAGAAGCCTGTTTATATTTTACCACTAAAGAAATGCAGCCAGTAAACTCCTGGAGCATCCCCATGATTCCACTCAAGACAATGCTCAGAATGGCTTTTGCCATGATGGGACTTAATGGGACTTCAAAAAAGACTTGTCTAAGAAGACGCTAAGAGCACCACGTTAGCTTGACTGGTATTAAGAAAATGATGGGAAAAGTCTCAAAGGTTAAAATGTTCAGTATGTTTCATTTGAAAGTTACCTAAGAGTTTTCTACAGTGGTTTCTCTCAGAGTGAGACAGCCCTTTTACTCAGTTACTAGTGAATGGGTGAAGGACAAGAGAAATACATGAATCTTAGTGATCAAATGGCTATCCTTGTGGAGTAAGTGCCCCGTGCAGGTTGCCAAGTATATGCCATGGCCATGCCTGGGATTGCTTGGCATCAGCTGTGGTTCAGCCCTTGCACAGAGGGGACATTACCTTTGTAAAATGATCCAGTAAGTATCTTCCAGGTGCCAGTGACAGTCAGGGCCTGTTAGCTGGCCCAGGACTCAAAGTTCACACCACATTCCTCTAGGGATTGAAGGAGCCCCAAGTCCACTTTATAAGGTGTATAGAAAATGATTTGTCCTGCTTAGTGTTTAATTCTCAGATGTGGCATTCTCTGTCCCAGCTCACCTTGGTGGCCCTTGTTGATGATGAACGGTATATATACTTGTAGTACAAACCACCTGCCATCATTTCTGTGCACTCACAAAACACTACAGAGGCATTCAGTTTTTTTTCAAGAGCTATGGTTGTAACTATTTCAATAAAAAGAGACAGTTTGCTTGTGATGTGGCAATTGCCTTTTGTTCCCTCTTTGCTCCTACTTTCCCTCTCTTCTGTGCTTGGGTGGTCGTGCTTGCAACCATGCCATGAACCAAACCATGCCATGATACATGCACATGCATCCCACTCAAGCTGTGAGACTGGGTCTTGCTCACAAGGAACCCTCTCCCAGCTCCCTGGCTTCTCTTGCCCTCATTATTTGAGCTCCCCTCCAGGGGAATACACCTACCCACACTGCATCAAGGAGAAGGCAATAGATAACATTACTGCTGTTTTAACAAAGTAGCTCACAGAAGGCTTTAACCAGAGTTAAAGTACTGTGTTGGTCTTCTTCAGGGAGGTTTAAATGGATGTGAATACTTCCAGGTCAGGGAGGGCACATTGAGCCTGACACTGACTACAGCACAGTGTCTGCAGCATTCTGCCTTGATAGGCCAAGCAAGTCCAGCTCATTTGCCTTGAGAAGACGAGTCATGCACTTCAGCCTCTTCATTTCTGTTTGGCATGTATAATTTGTTCCCTTATCCCTCAGGCTGACCGAAACTGATAGAAGTGCCTAAGGGCAACTACAGTTGTCTATTTTAACTGTCTTAATTCCACTTCTTATATCCCAATAGAGTCAGGAAAGCCAGGTATCCAGAGAAGTTCAGAAGCGATTCTACCCTCATCCTTTGCAGATAGCCCCTTTGTGCAGCATACTCACCTGTACCCTATGGCAACTTTGAGTGTTAGACTTGCAAGGGAAGCATAGGCTATTTTTGCTACCTGCATTTCAAAGCAACATGCCCTAGAAACCTTTTCTTTGAAGGGCAACAATGCTCTGAAGAGGAATGTGACAGCCACTCAGCCATTTTAAGCCAGCAGCTAGTGCCTCACTTGCCCCCCCAACAGCACATGGCTTCAATGCCTCTGTGCAGGGAAGTGACATCTTTCAGCTGCAAACTGGGGTCCAGCTTTGGGCTTACAACCAGGAGGTGACTGATGAGAGGGACTGCAAAGCCACAAATCATCTCTGCTTTGCAAATGGATAGTGGCAGAATCAGGGAGACATGAAGTGGTACTGAAACTGGTGGCTTCACTGCTTTCATTTAACCTCTTTTACAACCTATGGTAAGTCACAAGCAAGTGTTCAGCACCAGAAAAATACCCCCATTGTAAACCCTTGTCTTAGTCTCCCAGCATAAAACTTTGTATGGATTTTTGCACAGTGAATGGACCAGAGAGGAAACCAAAGTTTGTACCTGGGGATATACAGGATGTCACTCTTCACCTGTGAGCCCCACACTGACACTGGACTACGCTTAGAGTGGCAGAACTCATGTCAACATTACTCCTGCCCTAGGGAAAGGTATGGAGGTAGCAGCTGAAATCAAACATGGATAACTGCTCTGAGCCTTCCAATACAGAGCTAGTCATGACTCAGTGTAAGAGATTGAGGAAAGAACAGAAATAAAACGAAGTCAAGGAAATTCAGGTTCAAGTCGCATCCTCTTCCCTTCTGCTTGCTGTTTCACGAGTCGCTGATGTAGAGCGAGCTCCACCTGGTGTCTGGTTGTTCAGATGCAATCTGACACTGAGACGCTGCATAGTTTTGATGCTAGAGACCAAAAAGCTGTGGGAGGGGAGAAGATTATAAAAATTAAAAATAAATAAATAATGCCCAAGACAATTGTGAACACCCTAATATCAGCTAAAAGTACTTTAAATTTATGAGCCTTTTATGCAGTTAATACCTTGCCTAAGAACAGTAGATTGCTTATTTAAATTGGCTGCTAAGTACAGCCTGGGTTATAATTAAGTCTGTAGCAAAATGCTGGAAAACTCAATTGTGTGTCATGGATTCTCTAAAGCATTCATACTTCACATATTTGCTTAAACATAAGGAGGAAACAAAGTCACAAACTGAGACAACAGATTATTCCACCTAAATTACCTTTAAACTGATTGGACTGTAAGCAGGCTGATGTTACCAGGAAAGTACAAGTCTAAAAGCCTGAGTAGTAGAATTTTGACATACATAATAATACAAAAATTTATTATTTGGAAAAATTATTAGATCATGGCACATAATTCAGTGACATGTAACATCTCAAATTTATAGAAAGTGGTTCATTCTTACAGGAAACAAATATTTATCAGTATGTCCTTGTGATCCAGACTCAGTTTGTTTATGTCATCAAGTGAAACAGCACACTGTCTTGCATTGGGAACAACTATTTCTTCGCAAGCTTCCCAAACTGGGAAAAATCTGCTCCAGTTAAATAGCCAAGCCTTACAAAATTTCCAGAAGTTATTTAGAGAATAGCAGGTTTCCCTAAATTTAAAAGGGGAGAGTGATTCACACACAGCACAGATGTTTACTGTCACCCACCCAAGGAAACCTAAAGCCATATATTTTCATCCAGTTGCTTCAGCAGAGCACAAAAGCAAACACTTAAAGATACTAGGATATTAAGTACTGTGTTTTATTTAAAGAAAAGCTTTATTTAAAGAAGAGCTTTCAATCAACCTTTATTTAAAGAAGAGATTTGCTGAACAGTCGTACATACTAAGTCAGACTTCCATTGTCTACTGCAAGCCAGCCCCAAAGAGCACCAGTGTTAACCAAAAGCAAAGTGCCCTGCCACACCTAAAGGAAGTGGGTTGGGCAGGAGTCGTTTCCAGTTACTGTTTGCTTTGCTTTCCGACCTCCAGCTGCCTCCTGATGTCTGATACCTCCATGGGGACCTGCACTGTCAGACCATCCATCGACTTCTTAATGCGCACCTGGCAACCAAGGCGAGATCTGAGAAGAAAAAAATTAAGTGAGGTTCATCAGTTCCCACAGTAAGGGAAGAAATTCCTAACCCACGTCGGAATGTCTGGTCCAGGCTTGCTTTTCATGAAAGTTCCTGTTAAAGATAAAAGACACAAGAGAAAGCAGCTCTACAGGCATAATTGCAATACAGGATAAATCCTGTCTCCTTGGAAATAGGTGCTGAGATTCTGTCTGAGAGGTTTGAGTATCTACTGCAATCAGTAGGGATGCTTACGTCTCAGTGAGTCCATATGCCAAGTCCAGCATGTCCATCTCTTCATCTGAGATGGCATCCAGCTTTTGAAAGGTATCCTTCTCAAAGATGAGGTGACAGGTGGAGCAGGCTAATGTCCCTTCACATGCACCTGGTGCAGAAGTGGGGGGAATAACAGCAAATCAGAAAAAAAAGATGGTAAAGGGTGATCATCTTTGGAAACACTAGGAGGAAGTGTCCTTTAACAGATCTAGAGCATGTCAAAATAGATGCCGGAAGACAAAATAGATGGAGGCAGACTTCAGCCTGCCTCTGCTTTGAGAGGATCGCATCAGTTTTCAAATTCATACTTCAATTCCAACCAACCACAGTACCACTGAAATCCTAGCAGCCAGAGGGTTGAAGTCACACTGCCACGTCAGTGCAGTAAGCCAGCCCAAGCAAGCAGCTGTTGGGGAAGAGAAGCTTGCCAGTGGGTGGATACAAATTAGGGCTCCAAGCTTAAGTAATTTGAGTAAGCTGACTGAAAAGCAAAAGTGCTGATGACCAAATTAGCAAAGGAAGCATATGCATCCTCCCTGTGCTCCATGCTCTCACCAGAGCACAGTAGCATGTGTACAGTTGTACTATTCCCAGGTATTCACTGGTCAAAGCACAAACGCAGAACTCTTAAGAGTACATACCCTTCTGCAACACCTACCAAATCCATCAATGGCCAAGTTTTGATTGACTACCACTTCTAGCAAACTCTCCCCTTCTTTGGCTGTGGTTGTAAGTCGCTCTCCATCCCGATTTATAAAATGCACTGTCACCTGGTCTGCAGAGCTGTAATAAAAATATGCAAAAGAAAAAAAAACCATCAGAGGAACCTACTTTCTTCTGCACATCCATTGCTGAGGTCTTTTGTCTGAACACTAGAGCCACAGCATTCAGAAGGTAAATGTGTATACAAATAATGTTTCCAGAAGGATTATGCTACATGTGCTGAAAAACTTTAAGGTTGTTGGTTCTCAGTGGAAATAGACAAACTAGAACAGTTCAAAAATGAGCTGACCAGAATATTTTCCATTTTACCAAACTTCCCTCAAAATACATGTTGGCTGTGAGTCAACAAGTGCAGATGTTCTGCACTGACTCTGCTTGGTCTGGCTGGCAGAGGAAGCGTTTGTAGACAAAGAAAGCATTTGCAGCTCCTGGAGCCTGGGATGTAATCCTGGTTGGAGTAATAAAGTCTTTAGGATCAGTTACTAATAATGAAATAAGGGATGCTGTCATTCACATGGTGCTTCCCAAGGGGATTACTTGCTGACTACTCCTTTTCTGCTCTTTGTTCTTTCATGAAGCACCCACTCTTTTCCTGAACTCGGTCTCAGGGAGCTTTGTTGTGATGAGACATGCTTAGCCCCAGTTTACAGAACAACCATGCTGAATAACCTTCTCTGAGCTAACACAATCCTTGTTCGTGAGAAACCACTAGTCGTATTGACAGCCTGCAGAATTTAATCTGGTAGTGTGTTAAGGACAAGGCCACCAGCATTGCTCAGCGCTGACTTGCAGAAACTGTGTCTACAAACAAGGAAACAGCATCCACCTCACCTCCTCCAGACCAGGCCCTCCCTACCAGTGTGGAGGCTGCCACCCTGAAGAGCAGTGTCAGGGATTTCTCAACAAGACTGTGTATTCTGAGACTGTTTTATTTGTCATGGAAAGCACCAAGCAACAGCAATCCTTCTTAGTGCCCGTACCCAAACGGTCATGTAGGAGCAGGAGGTCCCAGTTATCTCAAACCCTACCTCCTGTGCTGACACTGGGCAGCACCCCAGCAGCAGTGGGTATTTTGTTCAGTATCTCAGTGTGGCACTGCCTAAGTGCCCATCATCTCAAAGTCCAGGACACTGTCCAGTGGCAGAAGCTGGGCCACATTCTTCCATGAGGCCAGCAATGGCCAGCAATGGGAGAGCCATAGCTCTCCCCCACACCTCTGGTATACTTATGAGGACTGGAAGTGTCAGTGTTGCCCACATGGCCTTTCTGCTGTCATTTCTGACATCAGAAGAAAGAACTATGGCCCTGAAGTGAGAACAGGCCAAGTTTACAATCCCCTGATGTCCTACTTAGATGAGGATGAATGAAGCAACAATCACCTTTTTCCAATAAAGGTGTTGCTTGGAACACTCAGTAAAGCTTGGTAAAATTACTTTCCTGGAAGCCCTGGGGCTACTGAAACATGAAGCAAGTGTGGCTCAGAGCTCTGAGAATTTCTAATATTATGGCCTGATTTCTAGCAATTTGCTGTACACAATGAATACAAGCTGTCACTGCCAAAAAAAAAAAAAAAAAAAAAAAAAAAAGACACATTACAGCAAATCCTCTGGCCAAGGAAGCATGACAGCACCTACACTCCTTGTGCTGAGCATCCTCATGAAAGTCACAGAGATGAGGAGGAAGAATTGGTTGAATGGGTTCTGTGTCTGAGATAGCAACAGCAGCAGCAACTGGAAGGACTTAACCTGTCTGCTCATCCCTCTCTGCTCTGAGGCAGATGAAAATGAAATGTGCAAAGATCGCTGCTCATGTAAATTAAGAAAGAGCAAAAGGAATTGCTCAGACTTGATTCTTATATATTTCTGTACTTAAGGGAAATCAGCACAGTTGGAGTACAGGGGATGTATCCAGCTGAACAGGACACAGGAAAGAAATCCTGTAAAAATGTAATGGAGAAAAGAGATTTTTTTTTTTTTTTTCAAGTTTGCAGGTCAGTTTATCCCCCTTCCCATAAATCACAGTCACCATATAGGTCTAATCCCCTTTACCTGCTAACAAGTCGTTGCAGGATATCTCTGAGTGACTCAAGATTCCGTCACTTAAATTGCTGACATACAGATTGTATCAGCAAGCCTACAGGAATAGCAAATTTCAAATAATTCTCACTTTGGAAAGGTGGTCCTATTTCACTGAAATTTAGAAGTGGAGAAAAGAGATTAATATTCTTGCATTCTCTGATCTTTTTTCAGCTGTGGCTTGATTCAGTTAAAAAGAACGGAACACAGGGGCCACTGTACCTTCATGTGAGGAGATCAGCTTCCTGTTTTTCAGAAAGCTTAGTCAGAAAACAATGCCTGGGTCATTGGTCTGTGACAGGGTCCCCTGGTTATGAAAACAGCTGTGAAGTTAGCACTAAGGCTGTGCTGCAGTGGGAAGTTTCCCATACACAGAAAGAAAAGATCATCGTGTTGCAGTCACATGACCAAGCAGGACCCCCTATTTGACAAAGCAGTCAAAGAACATCTCCAAGACATTTCAGTCTCCTTCATAACAAGACCCACAAACATTTCTCTGTAAATAAGCAATAAATAAGTCTAGTTCTCAATTGTCAGAACAAAGCAAAAACACCCTTCCTCTATTTTGATGAATTGGACCCATTTGTTTTTATTTATCTATTTACTTTTAAATCACAAATATCCAGGTTTCCCTTCAAAATTTGTTTTACAGCTATGGGTGAAATAATTTGTTACACAATAGGTATGGTAAAATCATAGGACTTCACTTACTGCTACAACTCGACATATTTATCACAAGGATTATAGAAGGCAGCCGCCTGCAAGCACAGACTTCTGGATTCAACAGTCCCCAAAACTGCACAGAGACTTATGCATAGAAAAATCAATTCATATTATCTTGAAGGCAACCTGAATCTTGAGCCGACATCCATGCCAGAAGGATCCCTGCACTTGGGATCCCGCAAATGCTAGGGGAATTCATTCCCTGCAGTTGCAGGGGTTTTAGTTGTTGCCACCAGTTAAATGAGCCATGAGAGAGCAGAGTTGCAGCCTGGGAAAGCACACAGGGTATTCACTTAGATACAAGAAAGTACAGATGCTATTGTCATTGATCCCCTGCATGACTTTGGACAAGCCTGGGTGTAGCAATTTACCGGTTTAGAGAACAACGTAGGGATGATGACAAACACTTCTAGACCATTACGTAGAAAGCACCTGTAAGCATCTTCTGCTGGCTGTAGGGGAAACTTAAGTTGCTTGTGTTTTTAATATAGATGCCTTTGTTGGGGGCATAAACCCAACCTGATGAGTCCCAATTTTTACTGTTCAGTTATCTCCTGTAAATCCACTCGTACTGGCCTAGTCATCTTCATATTCCCCTGAACTAGTCCCAGTCTCAAGTCTCCTCTGGTGGACTCCTGCTTTGGGCACCCAAGGTTTCAGGAGAAACAGGAAAGAAAACATATCTTTTGTTTTCTATTTAGCATTTGATTTTGTTTGAAGTTGGTTTCAAAAATACCAATAAAATAAATCACAAAGAAAAAAAAATCCTTTCACATTTTGCTAATAATTTTGAACCAAGATTTTGAAAACAACTCAGAATTGATGAGACCGACTATTGCTTTGTTTAGGCTGAACTATTTTACAATGGCATTACTGTCAGGCACATTCAGGGCTTTGGAAAGATGTCATCCAGACATAACCTCAGCCCTGCAAATTCAGCACATGCCAACTGATTACTCCCCTTTAAAAGTCTTAAACTTCCTGTGACAAAGAGAGCTAGTGGAGGGGTTCAAAGATGGTGTTTCTTCTCCTTGGCAGTGTTTTTCCCTAAAAGATTCTCTCCATATAGGGCATATACTGCCAGCAATAACTTCATATGCAACAAAGAAATTAGAAAGAAAACCCATTGATAATGAGACTTCATAATCCCATTAAGTAGGATTATCAGCATAATTTTTCAGGAAGAACGTGCCAGGAAGACATGAGAGCTTATAGTGGGGCTTCCAATGACCTAGAGAGGGTGTTTTGCTCCCTGGGACTGCAGAAAACATTAGCTCCCCACTCCACCTTTCCAGCAGCAGGTACATGAAACCTGAAAGAATCTGCAATTCCCAGAGTAACCCAGCAGTCATTCCAATTTCTGCCCAGCTGACTGACCTGCTATGCCTACCATCCCCATTCCTCAAAGGCTCATGACTGGACCCCAGCAGTCTATGGACTCATATGTCACATTGTCATCTCTATGCCACTAGCTGTAGCCTCTGTGGCTCCAGAGGCAGGGGAGCTACACCTCTCACATCAGCTCCCTGTACCATCTTCATCTCATCAGCATCTGCTTAGACTACACTTCCTCATTCACCACCCCTTTACAGGTCATGTTTTGTACCAGCCTCTCTTCTCTCTTCTGTGGGGTGAGGTAGAGGTCAGTGCATTTCCTTCTTGAAATGGCCCTTCCCAACACAGTGATGTATGGTTCATCCTTTTACTCACCTTGACTCCCTGGGGGCACCCTGGAGCTTGCATGTTGAGCTGAAACCCCTTCTTGACACCTGCTTTGCTGGCATACAATTCTGTTCTGTCATCCCACAGAGAAAAATAAAGCGAGTTTTGCTCACATTCAGTCCACTGCACAGGGGTCGCATGAACCCCAAGATGCCTTGAGCTATCATGCTACTTGGGTGTTGCTTCGTGTCTCCTGGGCTGTCTTTTGTTGCAAGGCCAGCTAGATTAAGAGTTATAAATATGGCTGGGAAGAAAAAAAAAAAGGCAACACATGAGGACAGCCTCCCTGGGGGTGGAGGAAGGGAGGGAGGAAAATGAGGGATGGATAGTGGGATTACACTTTGATCTTGCTGCAGTCCAGCCCAGTTGTGGTTGTATCAGGGCATGGGTATTGAGAAAAGTATGGTAATAAGTATTGTCACCCCATACCCACCCCCAAGCCAGACTCATCTTGTTTTGCCTTACAGACTTCCCTTTTAAGAACTAAACCTAAATGCAAGTTTAGGGATCAATATTCAATGCAATGTCTAGTGACAGAAGGGGTTGCAAGCTGAGAGGTTGGTAGAACAGACTAACAGGAACGCTGAATGCCTGGATGATGCCACCTTGTGAAGGCAGGTTGGGGTACCAGTTCTTACAGCAACAGAGTGAGAGTTAGGCTTATGGAGTCTGCTCCTGACATAGATACCATCTGGCCACATCATTGCCTTCCCCAATACTGCAGGCTCAGTAAATATGTCCCAGTAATACTGCCTTCCCCAATACTGCAGGAGATGTAAAATGTGAATATTCACCTACTTTGCAGGACAGTCATGAGAAGCAACCACTGTCATTCATTAAATCCTGTTGAAAAGTGACATAAGACACAGATAAGTATCACTCATTTCAAGCTGATATTTCATGCAAGTGAGACTTCCTTAGAAGAAAATGCTTTATTTTCTATTTTTACTATTTACATTAGCCTACGCCCTCTGCCCCAGGCTAATTAAAATTTACCCTGAGGACCAAAATGCTGCAGTAGAGACATGTTCACTTCCTGTTTTTTGTGGAGTTTGAGAACAACTCTCATCTCAGGACCCTTAATTGCCCCTAATACCAAACTAACAGCTCATATTTTGGTAGAATGCTTACACAGACGCCCTGCCCAGTCTTGTCTTTACTTTTCAGGCACCATGAAGAGATGCAGCAGGCAGCTCAGTTATCCAAACAAACAAGCCACAGAGCATCTTATCTCTCTAGCAAACCTTGAAATGAGAGACACAGTAGATATATGTGCAGCAGTTCTCACAGCAAGGACATTCATGTGTTTGCCTGGCACTGACTTCTCTCCTTGCCAGGAACTCTGAACACAGCAAGTGAGAGGTCAATGCCACCAGAGGAGAACACAGAGAGGGAAGTTAGGTCAGAGATCAACGCATCCAGTCCTTTAGGGAAGTGAGAAGCAGCGAAGAGGACAACTGTCCTCTGGTGAAAACAGGAACACCACCACTAGGGCAGGATAGAACCATGCCCTGCACTAGACTGGTATGTTATTTTAAGGTTTTCGAAACAGGGCAAAAAAAACAAAAAAAACAAAAAAAAAAAACAGAAGTAAGGTTTGTCTTTCCCTCTAACAGCAAGCCTAGAAGTAAACTCAGCATTTCCAGAGTAAACCCTTGTTCATTTAGTCCAAGCTACAAACAGAAATCCAGACGAATAAGTATTCATCTCAAACAAACAAACAAAAACAAGCAAAAACCTCAGAACATTGCTTTGTGTGTATGTGTGTGTGTAAAGAATTCTACAATTCTTTACGAGCAGGACAGGCAGAGCCGAAGTGAATCTTTAGCTCCATTTCATAGAAATTTGGCAGGAACCATGTTTCTACTAGCAACCACACGCAGACATGCGCACACACATCCCATCTCACTTGCCAGCAGGTCACGCTGCCATCAGTGCAGTGGCTGTGCTGATGTTTAGTAATGTCTTAGCACACACAGGGAAGGAAGTGGTTTTCTAGCATGAAACACATTACCCAGTTTCTTCTGCACCACACAAAGAACAGTTTCCTCTCCTCCCCAGTCTAGGGGCTCTCACAAAAATGGACAAAACAGCTAAGAGGCACCATTATCCCCCTTGTCCCCGATTGCTACATCAGATGTAAACACATTGATATCAGCACAGGACTGGCCCAGCAGGACATTATACAGTGGTGCTGCAGCCCTCCAGAGCCAGAACCACTCAGACTTACTGGATACCAGACCCAGCTCCTCTGACCACTGTTTCAATCCTTCTGTGGGACAGTTCAGCAAATATGTATGCAGTCAGCACAAAGCAGACTTGCATCTGTTCCCTTAGGTAGAAAGCACTCTGTGCAAACAACTCTAACCAAAAGAGCTCTTCTGCTAACTTTGTGGCTTGCAGGAGACCCTAGGTGGATGGTTTAAAATTAATCTGCCTCTCTGAAAGCACAATCACAGAATCATCTAAGTTGGAAAAGACCTCCATGATCACCTAGTCCAACCTCTGACCTAACACTGACAAGTAATCCACTAAACCATATCACTAAGCTCTACAGCTAAACGTCTTTTAAAGACCTCCCAGGTTGAAAATAAAATCATGCTTTAATCCTGTAGTTATTAATGTAAAAAGCAACCACAGTTCTGTCAGAATACATCTGCTACCATTTGAATCAACATCTCACAAATCTAGTAAATTAAGGTAGGAATAAGTCCCTCCTGAGAGAGAGGGAGGAGGGATCAGAAAAAGCAGCCTGGTCTACAGCAGATCAGCCACAAAGACAGGAGAGGAAAGAGCCAAAACCAGACGCATCAGAAATAACCTCATCCCTACCCACGAACAAGCTGCAAGACACGCAGGAGTACAAATGTCATCCAGGTCAGCACATCAGCACCCACTTGCTCCAATGTGCTCAACAGTGGAACAGGAAATGTGTCTAGAGGAATGAGAGATCTTGAGTAAACAGTTCAATAAATCGTGGCAAAGCTGAAGGCCAGCACTCTGCTCCAGTAAAGAATTGGCTCCATTCATGTTTGGAGCAAGCAGGACTGATCCATGCTCTCCTCCAGGTTTGTGGGAAGGCAGGTAGTCTGGACACGTGTGAAGGCAGGGCTGGAAGTCTGAGCTGAGTTCCATGAAATGGGTCATGAGGTTCCTTCACAACTCTGTACTGCCATGGAAGAAAGGCATCATCTTCTGTGCCATGTTTTACCTCTAAGATAAATGGAGAAAAAAGATTCCTGGTTGGCCTCTGAGAAGCATGAATGAGGGATGATAGATAAAATGGATACCTGAGACAGAAATTCGCTTGTCAGAGTTATACAGAGCTGCTCTGGATTAGTCCCTGCCAAGAGGCAGGGAGAGAATCAAGGCCTGTGCTGCTCCCACAGGTGAAGTCTCGGGGACTGCAGAGCAGCAGACACAGAACCAGGAATAATGAAGGCTACCAGAATACCTCCTACCAAAGCCCATCACCTCACAAATATTGCAGAGTAAGGAAATTGATACAGGCTGCTTACACAGACAGAACTAAGTCCACTAAACAAAACTGAAATTCCCCATCCTCATCATCACCACAAAAACCCACCAATGACCATTTCCCGTCCCCAAACAAACTGTTAATAAAATCAAACTGGACAATTTGTGCTTATCCTGCTTTCTCCAAGCCCACAGGCCCAGGTACAGAGGGCTGCCCCAAAAACAATATGTTGAACTCAGACCTGCAAAGTGCTTACATCAAGTGTTTTCAAGTCTCAGATACTGAGCATTATAGGCTGGAAGGTATGTGGGAAGGCTTTCAATGTGCCTCAGTTTCTACATCTGTCAAATGAGAAAACCAGTTGCCCACTCTGACCTCTCTCTAGATGTTCAGCAACATCTTTAGTATTGCTATAAACAAAAGGAGCAAGGGACAAATTTTCACCACCAGAAACAAGAGGACAGTAATGCTATCACAGATGAGCTAACAAATTCATAACAGGGCTCCTTGATAGCAGCCACCCCTGGTAGAGCAGCTGCTGCCTGTCTGGGTGAAGGCCACTAGAAGTTACAGTGCCCCAGTCAAGGCCTTCATTTGCAACTACAGCTGCTTCTCCTTGTCAGTCAAGGATGCTTCAGAGATGGATGGGAGGGCAGTACTGCTACATGTGGAGTATAGACAAGCTTCGCTGTAACCTCTCCACTCAAGAGCAATACATTCCACATTCCCTTGACCCTTAAGTCAGTCTTGATGGAAGAGCAACCCTGGCCTTAAAAGAGCACAATCAGAGGCAATAACCGTGATGAGGACTTGTAATTTTCCAACTAGCTCTGCTCACCAGCGAGCTGTATCTATGGTATTAACATCTATTCAGAGCAAGCACATTCTCAAAAGAAGCTGGAGGTACAGCCCAATATTCCTTATTAGTTCCCAGTATCCTTATAAGTCTCAGAGACAGTCTTTCCTTTCTCCTCGTTAGTCTTTACTCCTATTTTCTGTATACCAACTTCATCCTGTCATCTATTCTGAGAATATCTATCCTAAAATTACTAGTAACTTTAAGAGAGCTATTACTTAGCACCAGATGTTTGTTTAGGCATTGCTCTGTTGTAGGAAACTGCATGTTTGTCCACAAGTTGCACTTAAATTAGAGCTACAGACCAGTGAGACTAAAGCCAGCCTCATTTTAATGCTCAATACATTGAGGTCCAACTCATTTTTCTTACAGATGAGCTGTATCCTGCTTGTCTATTCACAGAGAATCTCGCACCAAATCACTTCCAGTCTGTCCCTGTTCCATAGACAAAAGCATCTGTGTCCCCAGCAGTTGCAGGTATAGCCTAGATTAGAAACATTATCGCTGACAGAACAGCGAATAACAGCAGAACTAGAATTTAAAGTTTAGAATCAAATTTGTATTTATCTTCCAACATTTTAGAACAATCTGGTGGTTTTTTTTTTTTGTTTTTTTTTGTTTTTTTACTATATGGCCTTGCATAGCAGCCTTCAGCCATTAGTGCTTTGCACTTCCAATTGTTGAAGCACAAATTTAGTATAACTATACTTTTTTGGAGAATTAACTAAACATCTTAAGTTTCCAAATTAAGGGTTGCAAGGGAACACCATGAAAGCTACACCATTCATGCAGAAGAATAATCTGACTGCAAGCACAGAGTCTTCAGGGACTCAAGAAATGTAAGCACAGGTGGTATTGTTCATCTAGAAGTAGATGCATTAAAAGACAGAATTCCATTTGTGAGAACTGCATTCCCAGGCCAGCATGCATTCCCTTGAATAAGGCAGTACAGTAGTATTCAAGTGAATTTGTGCAGTTCATCCAATGGTGTTCAGGTTTTTGGAATCCTGGAAGGAATGAGAAAACCCACCTATAGAAAATAGATCCATGTCAAGCCTGATGTGGATTGCAGAAGTCTCCGTTGCTCCACACTTCACATTTAGTTTGTAGACAAGTTCAAGTTTCTCCCACAGTAGCAGATCTCTGAGCACTAACAAATTTTGATGAAACCTGCCTTATTTTACAGTGCAGCAAGCATGAGGCAGTTTCTGCAAAGCCCCTCTTGACAACCACATGGAAAGCAGATACAAATGAAGATCACACAGCTCATTAGCAGAAAGGTAGCAGTAGCCTTGCTCCTCCGTCACTGGGAGCTGTACTGAGACCCCATGAAACAAGAAAGATGGGAAAAAATACCTGTGAAACAAATGAGATTAAAATCTCCAGTACAAGGCTAGTCTTGGACAGACCCAACAGCAAGTCTGGGACATGCAGCAGCAGCACCGAGCCTGGCCACCCTCATGTGCTCACCTGGTGCTGGATTCCTCATAGGTCAAGGCATGGCAGGCACTCACCAGCGGAAAACTACTGCAGCAGCTCTTCCCCAGTTTGACAGGCAGTTTGCAAGTTAAACATGATACAAATACACACTCAATTTTTCCACACAGAAATCTGAATTCCAGTACTAGTTCCAGTCAGACAGCTGGGAAGGTCAAAAAGGGTATTACTTCAAGCAGTTTCTTGCTTTTGAAGGATGCAAGTAAGATATCCCTATTTGTGAGTGATATGATCGTGGCTGACCTCTCAGAGGTCACATGGCAGACCTCTAACTTGGAGACACATTGCTAGACTAAAAGCAAGCCTTAAGCAATCACCCAGACACCATCTGCTGAATTTCTCTAAACTTTATTGGCACTGTAAAGAACAGGGTATGGATTTTTAACAACTCCTCCAAACAGGGGAAAAAAAAGCCTTAACATCAAGGTTCTCTTTGCAGATAACCACATGGACCCATTAATTACTCCACAACCCTAAGGAATTGACATTTTATTATAATCCAATAAAAAGACTGGTCAAAAAAAAAAACAACAAAACAAAAAAAACCACCACACCATAATTTACAGCAACAACAAAAAAGATAAAGCCAGGCAAACACTTGATAAGGTATTTCCCTCCCCCCCCCACCCCCATTAGGAGTAGTTAACCAATTAAACTGGGACATGGAGAGGAAGAAAAAAATTCACTGTATTTTAACAGATAAAAAAATGTGCCTACAAATCTCAACATAATACTGAAAGCTTCTTACATTAGTTTTCTTGCAAAATATCATTTCTTTACAATACAGTATACATTTCCAAGGGAAGGGGGACCATAAACGTATCCTCCATCCCATGACTAATATTTTCTAATTGTGCATAGCTAGAAGTATTGAAATCAAATATCATTAGATACCACTGGAATATAATACTGGTTAAGAAGAAGAGAGGGCTGAAACAACTACAAAGAGTTAGGTGGACTCACTGGCACAAGCTGTTCTATTCCTATACTGGAACTCTTGAAATTAGAATGACATTTAACAAAAAAAAAATCAAAACTCTATAAACAGAAGTTATGCCAGCATCATAACATGAGCTCAGGAGCGTTGTGTGACTCAAAGCAGTAAGGCTTACTAGTTTATTATTTGAACACACATTTCAGGCACTGTGTATCAGCTTGTTAGGAAATTGTTTAAATGCAATAAGGGCTTTTTTCCCTGCAAATGCACCAATAGTTGCTACAGACAGAACTGAAGTGCTGAGAACCAGCTTTAAAGCACCAGAACAGAAGTGTAATGGTTGTCTGCCCTGCCAGTAATGAGACTCACGCAGAGTCAGTGCCAATAACCCTTCAGTACAGAAATACACAAAATCAGTTCTGACAAGTTTAACTGCAATCTTTCATTTGTGGCTTTCAAAGGACTGGAGCATGTGTTTTTGACCAACCAAAAACTTCCTGGTTCCCCTGCCCAAAAGCATGCTATATTCAGGGGAGAGAAGGGGGCTCTTACATGACTAATCTGAATGTTCAGAAGTAACACGCTAAGTCATGCTTCCAACAGTAGTTGGGTTGGTTGGTGTGTGGATTTCCACAGACTTGTGTTGATTCCAAAAAAAAAAATGCAGCATTGGTGAGGTTGTTTCTAGCAGCCCAAGGAATTCTTGGGGAAATACTGCAGTTTGTTAACACTGACATGGACATTTCTTTTTGGCACATTCCCCCTTTGCCATATTTCAGGGAGCTGAAAATACTTCAGCGATCAAATACTTTCCTTCCATCACCATGAACAGTGACACCATACAGACAATGGAGGCATCCACAAAAACTAGAAAGTCACAAGATTTAGGATCATGTTAGGCAAGAAAATAAGTCACAGGCTAGCCCAATAACTTCCTATAAGGACAGGCTAATCCAAGGAGGGTAAAGCAAAGGAGGACTCCGTTGTAGATGGAATCCATTTTAAGAGGCCTCTTCTAAAGGTTAAGGTTTCCTTCCATGAAGGATCAAGGCAAAATGCAATTCAACCCTGAGCATACATGGCTGTTTTCTCCCCAGATATGGGGGTATGGGGGTGGGGCAGAAGCATGGGTAGGAATAGATAGCTTGGAAGACCGGAGGTGATGGGCATTAGAATGATTGACACAAATGGTTCCCAGGACCAGTCCCCCCCACAACCACTAGTGTCCTGTTTCTAAGAGACAGAGATACTGTGTTCAAAACTATAACAGGGGCAAAGCATCCTTCTGGAGAAGGAAAACCATTTGAGCCAGGGATCTGGCAAAACTACTGAAGATTAAGGCAACAATTGGACAAATATCTCATGACCCTCTCCCATCAAATGCTGCTGGTAGCCAGGAAGACAGCTGCAGTCTTGTTTCTACAGTGACCCAGATACAAAAGTAGTTTTTGGTCCCCAGCTGCTAATCACTTTTTATGATTGTATCTGGTTTAAACAAAGACATCTGAGCTACAGTAGATCTATACACCATCATAAGGCACTGACAACTATGTGCTAAAAAGACTTCATAGCAAAAACTGAAATCCCATTCACATGACTGAAATATACTGGTTCAGCAAGAGAAAATATAGTTACAGGAATTTGTAGTCATTTACATTTCTGCTTACCTCTTTTCATTTTCAGTGGTGACCCAGTAATGGAAGGCAGTGTTCTTTAGCTATCTCTGCCTCCATAGTTACATTCAAGTCAGACAAATGACAGTGAACAAAACCATTTACCCAGAGGAAAACTTCTGGAAAACGGGGAATTCAAGGTTCTGATATACCCCTCATTAGTGGAAATACTGCAAAGGCCTCCATGTGACTAGGAAATTCCAAGTTTCATCATTAAATAAAAAGTAACACCAGCAGGAACGCCACAGATTCTGTTTGGTCTGCTTAAATTTAAAGGACAAAAGCTTTGGTCTTTTATAAAGAAAGTCCATATTCTACCTCCAACCCTCCTTCCTTCTTCCCACACTCCAGCCTCTCCTTCTATACTACATGATTCAGACCCTTAATGAAGTCAGAAATGGCCTCTAGGCTTAATAATGAAGCTTGTGCAAGTTAGTAGGAATGTCAAACTGTTAGCACTTTACTGTATGTAATTCAGTGAAAGTATCTGCTGGCCTCCCTACCCAATGGGAGAGGACAGCAACACAGCCATTTCAGTAAGCAATACAAAACTAAATGCAGTAAGACTTTACCCAGATTTCAGATTTGCCCCAATACAAGTTTGCTTTCCCAAGCCGCCCCAGGAAGGTGTTAGATGTTGTTCTTTCTTCTGTCGCTGAACTCCAGCATTTGCCCAAAACTCTATAAATAAGACCATGGTCACTCTTCTGTAGTGGTTCCAGCGCAGCACAATTACGAGTGAGTGATGGGAGAGGATGGGAAAGGGGAGAAGAGAGTGCAGGGCAGCAGGTGCAGGGGAGAGTTTACATGGACTCAAACTCATCAATGCGCTGCTTGGTGTTGCCCTGCCGAATCTGACGAAGGGTCTTGTACTTGTCTCGGCCCAGACGCATATTTTCAGCGTGGATCATATCATTGGCTGTCTTCTTGGTTTCATCCCGAGCATTTGCTAGCTCTGAGGAAAGAGCCTTTGTGGAAAGGGAAACAGACAGCAATGGGTTAGCCATGCCAGAGACTCAAAGTTAGACAAGGAGTTTCCTTGCTGATCCTTCTAAACAGGAAACAGATGAGCCCAACTGCATACAGTCCTGGGCACCCTTGTCTAGCTGACCCTGCTTGAGTGAGGCAGTGGAACTAGAGGATCTCAAGAGGTCCCTTCCAACCCAAACATTACTGTGGAAGTTGTTAATATTTTTCCCTAAAATTGGAAGGTAGAAAATTTGGGGCACTTCCACCTTACTTATCTTTGTCTAGCACAGTAACAAAGACAGCCATCAGTTTATTTCAGAAGAAGAATGAGAAAGTCCAGTGGAGAAATCCCTAAAGACTTCAGGAGCATTTTGCAGAAATGAAGCAGTTTCAACCTTCTACCATAGAAGAAACTTGCTGTAGATGAAAAAGGGCGTATCTCTATCACTCTGCCTGTGCATAACCATCACAGCATGATACAGAACAAAATCTGCTGCAAGCCAGGCAGCTAGAAGGCAGTGTGGAGAAAAAAAAAAAAGAGGAGAAAACCAACAAAAAAAAAACACCTTGTAAGCATCAACACTGGAACACTGGCATTCCCATTCCTTACAAGGAGCAGCTGCAGCATTGCTTCCCCCATGCTGAGCCCTAGTGAACTGCTTTCAGGATTTTGCAGTGAAACCCATTCAGACAAGAAAGACAGCCAGCTTCATGATAAGAACTTGACCAAGTCCTCTGATACTTTGCAGCCAGGGCTATGAACAGCTGTCAGATGGCTGGCAAAACTTACACAAGCACAATACATCCAACAGATATTGCTTCTTGGCACTGTTTGAAAACACTTGCTGTTTCAAATGAAACGGACATCAAGTGTCAGGAAACAAGCTATGCCCCCTCCCCAGTGGTAAAGTAAGCAGCTATCTGATAAGATAACAATCATCTTACCTCATCCACCTCCCACCCCCCTCCCTTTTTTTTTCCTTCCTTTTGAGGAATAGCACTAAAACCTTCCAGCTGTATTAATGGCAAGAACAGAAGCAACACCCAGGCACACACTCACTCTCCTGCCAGCTTCTTACCTTCAGGTGTTTCTGGACCCGTTCATTCTTCTCTGCTTCAGTGGTACGCTGCTCCTCACTGCGGTCCTTGATGGTGGCCTCTGATCGTAGCTCAGCACTGGCTTCTGCTGCATTCTCATCCTGTTCATCATCATGCTCATTCTCAGACTGCATGGGTTCAGGTGACATGAGGGGTGCTCATAGCAGTCTTCAGTTCCTCTTTGGTCTTTTCTAGGTCCTCCTGCACCATTTGTGCCTGCAGTAAGACATGCCACAGTGAGTTAGTGAATGCAATCCGGAGCGTGAGGGACTTCTCACACAAGTTCACAGAAGCACTACTTAGTGCTTATTATATCAAACCTTGCAGCTCTTGCACACATAAACGGTACTTTCCAAAGCTACCCAGACACAATCACTTGCAAAGTTTTCTGCTGGCTAGCATGTCAGAGATTTGAGAAATGCTTATAACTCATGGAAAATTAGATATAGATTTAATCAGTCAAATTGTTTCTAGATATGGGTCACTCATTCAACTTAAAAAAGCAAAGCTAGATATCCACAACAGCCTCAAGCTTGCAGACAATCAGTCAGTCTAGTATGGTACCTAGTGCAGTAGTTTAGGTCACAAAACAAAACAAAGATTAACCCCACAAAAAGTACTGCTGTTTGTTCACATTCTGCTTTACCTTCTGTTGCCACTCCTGGGCCTCACTCTCTTTCTTCTGCCTAGCCAGCTCCAGCTGTGTGATCCTAGCTGTGAGTTCAGCCATCTCAGCAGCCTGCAAAGGAAAGACTTTCAGTGGGGACAAAACACATACACTTGCTAAATGAAGCATTAAAAAACAGTATCTCTCTAATATCGTTTTGTTAAGGAGAACATCTTTATATATACTTCAGTCCCACTGATAACTACAGGATTAAAGGGAAAATGAAGTTTAAAAAAGTTTTGGGTTTTGTTGTGTTTTTGTTTTTTCCTCCAAACAGAACTGGAGAACTCACTTCTTTGAATCCAAGCCAGGGGAAGCAATTAGTGAGTTCTACATGCTGTTCTCAGCATCACATACTGTTGTAAGCGAAAAGCACAACCATCCAAACCCACTGTACAAAGAGATGTAAACACCTGTATTCAGATATAAGCTCATCTACCTGAGGATAAAAATTAAGGAACCATACTATTCTTCCTTACTATGTTCATAGCCTGGTTTGTTCTATGAGTTTGAACCCCTATGTTGTCACTATTTGCCCTACTCAATTTTCAGCTCACCCACTTACCAGCTGTTCCTGGGTCTTTTGTTGATCATGGGACGCTTTCAGCAGGGCCTCCTTTGCCTCTTCTGCTTCTCTACGTTCTTTAGCCAGTTTTTCTGCTTCCTCTTGAGCTCGTTTTCTTTCCTGTTCCAGCTCCATGGCTCTGCGCGTTTGTTCTTCCAGTTCTGAAAGAAGAGCATATTACATTGAAGAGAGATCAAGTAAAGAATGGCAGCAGAAGAGGAAAGTGTTCCTATCTCTACCTCCTAGATGAGACCTTTCCTTTAGAGAGACAAGAAGGATGCAAGTAACTGTCCCCTTTCTTCTCCTTCATATTGTAAATGGAAGCTGGAAGACCAAGAGTCAGGCCTGTTCCAAACCAGCAGATTACTTACCTCATTAATTTGTAGGGAAGTACCTATCCCAAAATGATGTCCTTAAAGACAGAGAAGCATACAGCACTTTGATTGGGCAACACGGCGTGGCCAACATTACTATGCAACTAGACCATAAGAACCAGAGCACTGGCTGGTGGGACCCCTGCTACGCTTTTTCTCCTTCCTCTACAGGTGTGCTGAGATAAAGCTTCCAGCCATTAAATGAACAACTGCAACATAGATTGGCTGACGGAGAGGCAGCTTAGCTGCCACCCACATCTTTAACACAAGCCATACTTCAGCAGGTGCAGTTGGAGAAGTTATATTCAGCTTCAGAAGGCTAAACTTGGGCCCTACCACTCCAATTTGGACACAGAGTCTGAATGGCTCAGAGATGCTTTTAGTTTTACTCCTCGAAACCTTCTCACTCAGATTGTGCATCTAAGTGGAATACTGGAGCATTTCATCTTACCTTGCTGGGCTTTCTTGGTTTGCTCCTCAATTTGCTTGAGTCTCTCCATTAGTTCCTCCTTTTCACGTTCAATCTTCTCCTTCTCCTTTTCTGCCAACTCCCTCTTCTTCTTCTCATTCTCCAGGAGGGCTCTGATGATGGGAAAAATCATAATACAATTTGCAATTAATAGATATCCAGTCTGGAGTGCTTCCTAGTGAAGCTATAAGCACACAAGAGATGTGCACTAGATCACTCAGCTGATGAGCTTTACTCCAGCTGTATCCTTTTAAACTGAAACAAAGAAAGAAAAAGCTGTGTCAGCATTCACCTCAGTGGGAAGTTCTCAATAGCAATGATACTAAGAGAAAGCTCTTTATATCAAGATCCAGATTAGTCCTTTCAAATAGACAGACATATTTTTAACTCCAAGAAAGTGTTAGTGGGTCACACTTGTGATGAATGCTATTTCCATCCTCCCATTAAATCTACTGAAGCAGAAAGAAATTTGCCCTGTTTTTGGCTCAAGAAGATTAATGTGCTGCCAGCAATTTATCTAGCACATGGTAGTATTATGCCGTGACCAACCAAGTCCAGGTTACTCAGAAGCCTACACCAACCTCTCCATCTGTTTCTGATGCTTCTCTTCCCGGGCCTGTGCTTTCATCTGCTGCACCTCAATGGTATCTGGTTTACGTCTGCGCATGTAGAGCTCATGGTTCCCCATGCAAAGTGCCAAGATTCGTTTGTTAATCCGTAACCGAGGGGCGTAGAATACAAAGTCCTTGGGACAAGGAAAAGGCAACATTATACTTGTTCCTTTAGCATAATAATTCCCTGAGTATGCAATATGCTCCAAGACCCTAAGCTTTCTAGAACTGCTAGCCTAGCTTTTCTGCTCACTCCTGAAAGAGTGAACTAGATGCTGAATTTCAACCTGATAAACACAGGGCAAAAGTGCCCAACTCCTCCTTGCAGTGGGCTCAGTGTCACTGTAAAGCATTTCTAGTACACGGAGTGCAGAGCGACTTGCTCCATTGTTTCATTGCAAACACAATCAGGAGTTAGTTCACCAGGCATATTGAGACTATACCTTCTCCCATCTTTCTTCCCACTTAGCTCTTTAATATAATAGTCTGGCCATCCACATCAAGCATAATGCTTTGTCTTATGTTAGAAAGGGTGTCAAACATTACGCCCTGCAGATAAATAATTTTGTTCTGTTAAAACAGAGCAACAGCAGTGGGAAAATGCTTCCAAACAGCTGTGAAACAAGAACAGCCAAAAAAACCAGAAGGTATCAGCTCACGCAAAGTTAATAAGCCCTAAAGATCAAACCAAGCTGAATTACGTTCATTAAAAATTTCTAAGAAAAAATGCTCCCAGTGAACCCTACCAAACAACCTGAATCTTCAGCTTCAAATAAGGTGGAAAACTGTGAAAGACATTCCACCCTACTAAAGCCAACATGATGCAACAGAAGCTTTCAAGGTTAACATGGGTAGCTCAGACCAGTAATTGTATCAGAAAATTGGTATGGTCTTAGGAGAACCAGCAACCCTAAGCCGAAAGCCTCTCTTTCCCACTGACTTCATACAGCATAAGGTTACAAGGGAAGAAATTTGTTCAGTGTGGCCAGAACCAAGCTCCATCTATCCCCTTACTGCTATTAGATCCATTCTGGGCATACTGCCCCAAACATATCAGGTAGTAGAGCACTGCTTAAGTCAATGATGACATTACTGATAATAAGATAATGTACAATTAAATAAAAAAACACACAGCAAGAAAAAAAAAAACTAGCAATCAACTGATCATTCAGCTAAGAAGAAACTGAAAGTTTAAAAACTTCAATTTGAATGCTGCTTCTTACCGGCGCTTTCTTGTCAATAGGCTTGATAACAAACTTCTTGTCATTGAATGAGATGTTTCTGATCTCGCTCCAAGGGAATCCAATTTTTGGTGTTAGCCTACAGAAATAGAAAGCAAAGGAGATGAAAGTCTCAAGTCATTCCAAATTCTTGACCTACAATAAAAAGCTTAAAATTCTGCCAAACCTGCCCTCATATTTCAGTATTCTTAGGTTGACTCGAATAAGCAAACAAAATTAGAATCATTTAAATGAACTACAAGCACAGAGAGTAGTTTTACACTTATTTATTTAATGAAAACATAACTGAAGAATTCATCTGCATCATGAAGACTAAGGATGCAAGTAAAACTAGCTTGATAACATTTGACAATGTATTATGTTTTCTGGTCCAAAGCACCATGTTTTAGGGAGCATTCTGGCAGCATCAAAAATACAGCCAAGAATGATACAGAAGTAGTAGAGTTTAGTATAAGACCAGAATTCCAGAAAAGACTACCTTTAGTAGAAAGGAGTAGAGTGCAATGATGGGTGAGGGGTTAATTACCTGTCATTCTGCTCATAAATGTTGAGTCCAAGAGCATCTACACCTAGCCAGAGTTCAGAGCCCTTTTTGTTCTTAATGTTGAAGTAGTTCACACCATACATTTCCAGATCCTGTGCAATCTTCAGGTACTCCAAAACAGCATCTTCTCTGCAGCATGCAAAAAGAAAGCAGATATCCCTTTTGAGTCAACATTAGATCAAGAAGGTGCTGGGCACTGTCTTCCTACACTGCTAGAGCAGCAATAATCTGGCAAAGACTCCAAGAACCATTCTTGAAGACAATAGCAAACAAAATCTGCAAGCTTGTTTTTTTGTTGTTCTTGTTTTGTTTGTTTGTTTTTTACATTAATGACAAACAGCTGGGCCTAGTTACTCCCAGTGGAATAATCTGAAGAACGCGAACTCATCCTGGAGTAAGTCACAGATTTTTATACGACTTCATACTTCACACGCTAGCATATATCACAATACCTTAAATACAGTAGTTCCACATGCATCAGTTACCTAATCATTCCTCGATGTTCCTCATGCCACACCTGGATCCTCTCTTCCCACTGGTCTTTGTTAAGCTTATGCTGCTCCAGAACTCTAGAAAGAACACATTGGATGATTTAGACCAGCCACTGCATTTATGCTGACACAGTCACATCACTTCAGAACACCACATTATTAAATACACTGTGGGCATCAGTTTCCCCACAAAAATGTTCCAAGAAATAGGAGTTCTATAATAAGGCTAGGTAGAGACACACTAGTCAGTATCCAAGACTTCTGACAAATGACAAGCTATGTTCACCTTGTACCATAATATTTTTGTTTGTTTGTTTTGGAGCTTCTCCCACTACTTCTAATCAGAGTTTCTTCAGTAGCAATAGGACCTTTAAGATTAAAGCTCTTAAAGAGCTCTCATCCTCAGAGAGGCACCATACTACTTTATTCTGAAAAGTGCAGTCAAGACCACAAAAAAACTACAAACCTTTTAAGGCAAAGAAAAACTAACACTGGCTAAGTTCACTTACCTCTGTGGAAGCAGTTTGTCACTAGCAAGGTAGCCAGACTTATGAACCTCTTTGTTGAAGTCTCCATATTTTGACTGGACAGCATAGGAAGCCAGCAGGACAGCTGTTTCTGGAGGACAATAAATGTCATCGTTCAGAATTGCTTCCTTTACTTGGAGGAAGAATAGGCGCTGTGTGATGTCCTGGATCAGCTCTTCTGCCACATCCTCTGGGTAGAACTTGGCTCGGAATTTGAAAAGCAGAGGGCTTTCTTTGCGTACATCTTGTGCTGTTACCTGGAGCAACAAAGTTATTCTGTTTTATAGCCCACACACCAAGTGAAGATGATCAGGTTTATGGACAGGAAGAGAAGACAAGCATGCATTTGAAAAAATTTCTCCTTTCCAACACAGTAGTGAATGGGCAAGTATTCACATGAGCATCATATTAACAACTCTTGGGGTGGGTAACAGATTTTCCAGGGTGGGGAAGATGGACTGAAGGAAGGTGGTACCAACTTGCTATAATTTCAGGTGTTTATAGAAGAACAGATCCCTGATCAAAGTACAGAGACTGAATCTCCAACAAAAGGGACCCAAGGATAAATGAGAGGTTGAAGCAAACATACCTTTTTATTTAATTTCAGCCATGTTGAGAAACCTTTTGTGTCCTGATACTGGAGTCCAAAAAACCAGACCTCTCTTAGACCAATTGTCTTGACAACCTGGAATAAAGATAATTATTAGGAATCCCAGTCAGACAGGCTGATCTCACTGGTGGTGGAGAACCTGTCAGAGGTAAGAACATACAAGCACAGAGACGACCAGGGCCATAGCATTCTGACACCCCTGCTACTTTTCACAAACATAGATGATAGGGCATCAGAGGAGGCCCCCATGGGAAATATATTCATCCCTCTCCCTCCTATCTTTAAGGTTTGTTGCTGCATAAAAACAGCAGCTGGGACAGTGTATTGTTTAGCCATTTATAAGCCAATCTGTTGCATTGCATTTTAGCTATACAAAACTGACAGGTGTAATAACTTTAAGAGCTTCTACAGGAATTAACTACACTGATACAGGAGCTCTCTCCTTAGTCATGTCTCTAGGCCACCGTAAGTGGTGCATAAATGAGAGTTAAAAGTGTTTACAGACATACTGTAACAGGAGACAAAAACCTCGGGGGGGGGGGGGGAGGCGGGTGGGCAAGACTACTGCAGTATTATGCTGGTATAAAGGAGGGGGGAAGTTTCTTGGCAGAGCCTGTTCACTAGCATGGGGCCACCACTTTGTACTCTGTCAAGTCTGGGACCCGCCTGCCATGGGGTTCAGCAAGTCAAGTTCAGGCTGGACATCAGGAAGAGGTTCTCCACTGAGAGGGTTGTTGCACTGCTGGAACAGGCTCCCCAGGGAAGCAGTCACTGCACCAAGCCTGTCGGAGTTTAAGAAGTGTTTGGACTGTGCACTTGGTCACATGGTCTGAATTTTTGGGCAGACCTGTGGTGCCAGGAGTTGGACTCGATGATCTTTGTGGGTCCATTCCGACTCAGGATATTCTATGATTCTAAGTCTAGAAACTGAAGTTCATCTACATCCTTCCTGACCTCCCCTCCCCAGTTGTTCTTACACCTGTGAACGAGGCACTTACCTGTAACCTCCAATGCTAGACAATGGAGGAAGAAGAAGACAGTTGGCTTTAGGTCTACACTGTACCTGGAGAACTGCTTTTAACACAGCTCTCACCCCTTGTGCTCCCTCACAGCTTCCCTCCTTCAGGGTGCAATGATTTGACAAATAGCTTATGGTAGATTTAGCACTGCGTTGTCCCATGTTCTATATGATCTCTCCCCAATCCCCTACTTTCTTTTAAGTTGATTCCACGCTGATTCTGATTCCTAAGGATGCACTCTATTTCCTTCTAATGTGGTCTCCAGATTTGTTGATATACAACATTAAGGTCACAGGTTCCCTGCAAACACATTACTAACTAGTTAGATTACTTAGGACTTGAATCAGACATTTCTTCTGGCTTTACAGAAGCAGCAGTAGGGCACAAAAAAAAAAAAAGAGGGGGGAGTTTTCAGCAGAGGCGTGCTATTAGTAGCACATGCAAAACTTACACAAGGCCATGTAGTGTATATACATCATTCCATTGAAGTCCATTAAATTATTCAGCCTGTCCTTGCTTGAATATGGAGATTTGGCATTAAGCCCAGAGTAAACAGGGATTTGTGGGCCTTCACTTGCACATATCACAAAGTAGGATGCCCACAGCTAAGGAGGCTTTCAGAATAGCATTAGACCTTGCTGTATGTATTGAAAGTACATGGTAGGAGAGGAAGAAGGGCTGTCCTAGAGCCTAAGAAAAGCTCTGTTCTCGGCAACATTAACATTTGAATGGGATGGAGGCTCGCCCCCCACTGCTGCATGTGTCTGCTTGCCTCATTTTCATTTGTCAGCAGCTTAAGCCTGGGAATTCAACAAGCTGAACTGCCAGCAAGGAATTGAATGGCATCGCACTGCGGCCCCGCACAAAGGGGCTTTTATTCCATAGCAGAAGTCTGCAGAGCAATAGCGGTGATAACAATGGCCCGGACGGGGCGGGAAGAGCACAGCACACAACATCACACCCCCAGATTGCTATTGAATCAAAGTAAAATGCAGTGCAATTCCTGCTCTACGAATTATGTGAGCTTGTAAAGCAAGGCATGTTGTGGCTTCTTAGTTTGAGCATAAATCTGGCCCATTTAGCCTTCATCCTGAAAGTAGAGACACATGATGGTAGTCTCTGTCAAGTGGGGAGAAGGAAAAAAAAAAAAGACAGCAGTTAGCAGTTCAATTTTATTTGGGGGTGTACAAGCATTTAGAGCCCTGATGAACCGTGAAATATTCCAAAAAACAAACAGCTATTGGCAGTAGCTAGGGCTGGAAAAGGGCTGGTGCACAGAACAAGAGAATACAGAGTACTGTTTAACGCATAGACCACTATGCTTAAATACCAGAGTTTACTCTCTTGGCTGGACAGTGACATCTTTTCTTTGTGCCACAGAAAATATTAAGTCAGTCCCAGTGTCTTGTTTAGCACGCAGTACGAGGTTTAATATACAGTTGGCAACAGATTACAGGCAGACTTAAAATCCAGCTGTTGCACAAAACCTTGACCAGCCATAACAAGGCTCTTCAAACACCTTTAGCTTAAAGGCCACTTTGTGAGCAAATTTGTCTCTCTGCCTTAGGGTAGGTGGTGTATTTCTAGAGACAATCTAAGCACATAGTACCATTCCTTACATATGTTCAGAGTAGAGTCTCAAGGTCTTCCCGACAGCCTTTTCTCTCATTTCTCCTTACTCTACTTTTTCCAGGCCTGCATGGCTCCTGAACTTCCCCTCACCAAACACTAACCTTCCTCCCAGCTACAGATCTTGCCATTAAGAGGTGTCCCACAGCAGCAGGAGGGCCATAATAGGCAGGTCTCCTAAATGTAGATTTTAGCATCAAGATGATTATTGAAGATTGCCCTTTTTCTCAGCCCCAGGAAATATACCACCATACTTGCAAACAAGTGGGGATCTTGCATGAAAGCAATGTCTACACAAAGATAGCAAAGCATTCAAGCAGAAAGATGTTCCACTCAGAACAAGTTCCTGCTCCGAAGGCCAAAGCATCCTGGACTATTCCACAGCACATAAATCAGACTTGAATCTTACCTGTTGTCCTGCCTGAAGATGAAGCAGGTCTTGACAGGCATGTCAAGTATTTCTAAGAGTAAGGCGCTAGCAAACAGTATTGCTGGAGTAGCTCTGACCTGCTGTCACACCTGCAGTTTAATATGCCATAGTTATTCTGTTCAGGCTAGTAAACAAGGCCAATTTGGAATGGTTTATGAAATTGAACATATATCTAGCCCACAGGTAGATTGCACTGAGATTCGAATCATGTCTCTCAAGAAGACTCAAGTTGCTTCATCATGTGTCTTCAGTCTGGCTATGGGCACAGATGAAGCCTGCAGAGATTAATGCCAAAAATAATCCCAGAGATTAATTCCAAGAATCCCAAATCATTCAGTTCGTGTTACTGTCACCATGCTGGTTCTTTTCCTAGCCTTCCTACATCCCAATTGCCCATGCAAGATTACCATGCCTCAAGAACTTTGATCATCAGATAACATAACCGTCTTAATGCTGAAGCCACTATCTCTTGGACTTCACAATATCCAGAAGATAGTATTGGAAGGACTGAAGTTTACATGGTCAGCTACAGGCTCAGAGAGCACAAAGCATGTCATCAAGGAGCAAATCTGAAGTCAGGGAAGTGGAGTTCATTGTAGGTTGGAGAAGGAAGCACTGACTAAGTAGTTTAGTAACCACAACTCATCGTTAAAAAATAAAGCCCGATGCAAGGCCTATCAAATAAGTAGATCCTCACCTATCTATTGTACTTACCACCCAATAGATCTAGTACGGCAGACAGCTAAGACGCTTCTACAAAAGACTAGAAGTAAGAGGCTCTAAAGTGGGAAAGAACAAGAAACTAACATGATCCAAGGTCAGAAGTGATCAGAATCAAAGCATTTGAGAAGCTGCCTTATAGAAGCAACTGGGTACACAGAAGAAGGAGTATGTTTTCATACCACAGAAGTGCTCAAAACAGAAAAAGGTTTTGTGACTACAGTTTTTATGCAGGCATTCTGAGGAACTTGTAAAGTCAGTGTCCATTAAACCAGGGCATTTCTGTGAAAAAACTTTCCAGCCAGCCAGCTGTGAAGCACTTGGGCCAGTGAATTACTGTTACCTCTCCCTGTCCAAGGCATAGGCTAGTCCCCCTGCCTCAGTGACAGAAAACATCTGCTAGAATCAGTTTATCCCCTCCCAAAAAACAAAGTTTCAGAGGGAATTGAAACTGGAGGGACACAACTACAAAGCAATAAGTAGTTAAGCAGTTCTACCACATACACACAAAAAGTTATTTTTTCATAGAATATCCAAGCTGGAAGGGACCCACAATGATAATCAAGTCCAATTCCTGGGTTCCCAAATGACAACCCGAAAAAAATCTGACAGTGTATGTATAGGAGACATACAAAGCAAAGCAATGCTTTGTTTTACACACTAGCCTCCAATCTAACTACACTTCAATCTGATAAAGAACAGGGTCAAAGAAGGAAAACAAGCAGCTATCACTGCTGCAGTACCTGTACCCTGCATCCCAGGAAAGCGATATTCCAAGCTGCCCATGAAGTAACCAGTGATTCACTGCATGAGGGGTAAGCAGCCCTCCCAACAGCCATAGCCTATACTTAACCTTGGCAGAACTGTTTTTCCTGGTGAGTTGGCAAGCACTAGAATCCAGTATCTGATGCTAAGAGGCATGTAAGCAAAGATGCTAAAGGTAGGTTTGCATAATCTTCCTGTCTCAATTAATACAGGTTTTGTCCGTGTAAACTATTTAAGATAATGCTATACAATTACAATCCTAGGGGATGGGATGATGTAGGAAGACCTCTAGTATAAATCATTATGTTATTACACCATATGTCAGCTCATAAGGATATTTCTAGTCAGGTACCTTGGGGCAGAAGATGACAACACTACAAAACTTCATCGTGGAACTTAATCAGGCATGATAGAGGAAGACAGGACCTTTCCTACCTCAAGCCCATTCACCTACTAATACTATGGAACTTTAAACTCAAATTGTTCTTGCTCATGAAGCTACATAGACATAAGCTTTTCCAAAAATCCTTTGAATCCCATTCGGAATAGGACAGAACTACATCTTGGATAATGAATATATTTACTCTACCTTTAGACACACTGAGTGGAAACAAATACTCTCTAAACATTACTGAACAAAGCCAGCAGCATGCACTAAGACAGTTGTGTGGCCAGAAACCTTGGTAAAATTTAGTAGCTTCCTTTTTGCTTAATTCAGAATTGACCATGCATTCAAATTGAAAGGGCACTCGGGGGCAAAAACATTCAGGATCTCTAAAAATTCTTCTGTGAAAGAGTCAAAATCAGGTTTCACACCACAAGGTCAATATGCTGCAACAGCAAAAGCATAAACTTGCTTTGTAGAGAAAATCCCTACCCTCAAAAAAGCCCTCATGAAGGCAGACATTTTTTCAGAAACAGATTCACGCAAAAACACTAGTTTAACACCATAAGGAGTGCATGATATTTTAAGGGAGCTACAAAATATAGTTGAAATATCTTCTAGGTATTTCCTAAAAAGGAAGGGATAGAATTGTCCATAGAAAAATAAAAGACGTGTTAAGAAATAATGAACAAACAGTCCAAAGTTGAACTGCACATTATTTAAATTTATTTAAACTTAACACACGCTGAATTGAATTCAGCTATAACTTTGTTCTTACACATCCCAGTACGGGACCCATGAACACCTCAGGATGGAAGCCAGATAGAGCAAAAAGATTATTAGTCAGATAGTCATTGCTTAGTCCCTACTAGTAGTGTCAGCATGAAGAACAGCTCTGGACTAGTCCTTTACAAGAATTAATCTACACAAGCAGCTCAGCTATTTGAAATATTGAATACATGCCTGTCGACAGTTAAAAAAAATTAAGAGAGCAAGGCAAAAGTGGCTAGACTACAAAAAATCTCACTTTAAGTTCTCTTAAGAGTGAGGTGAACAGGCATTAGTTTTTGAGAATCAGTCATCAGATGAGATGATTTGGTTGCAACATATGAAGTGTTCTGGTATAGTGGACAGAAGTATTTGCATCACTGAGAGTAGCACTCCCGACTCATGCATCTGCCTCCAGATGACTTCTGCTAGATAAAAGAATACTAGAGGCTCCTCGTGATTTATGACCATTTCATTGCTTTACACTCAGCAAGAGATTCCTCACATACTGATCAGTAAATTCCATAGTATAATAGTCCAATACGTTCAAAGCTCTCTTTTTTTCCCTGTATTAAAGGGAGTAAGTCAAGCTATGCACTGTCAGGTCACTATACACTCTCTTGTTTTGATATACAGTTAGCTCTTTATGCACAGATCAAGAATATGTTTGAGCTTGTCCCTAATACAAATACTTGCTCCCCCCATCCCCAGTATTTTCAGCCCCCTTTATGCACAGGTCTGATTATGGATAGTCTCTTTTGCAATAAATATGAGCCTTGATTATTAAATAAATAAAAGATGGACAGACAATTGTCTGTTGCATATTTGCATTTTGAGACCAGCATGAAATGTTTCCTCATTGTTTAAGGAGTTGAATACCTACTTCCTTTGCAATTACTTTCCTTAATAGTAAAAGAGTAAATCATTAGATTGCAGGGCACAAGAGAATATGGGATTAGGTTCCCTGACCACTCACATAAAAATAGCCTCCAAAATTCTGTATTTGTACTAGAGGTGAAAGACATTCAGCATCCCCACATCTTCTGCCAACTCCCCACGTTACTGCTCAGAACGTTCCCAAGCCATGGCAGAGGGTTAGTCTTTCTATCATCTGCACTGTTATGTTAGGTCTTTGACTAACCACTGAGTCAATGCCTGGACATGTGCCAATGGTAAGGCTCTAAAACATTCATTTCAGAATCAGTCCTATCAGAAACCAGAAGCACTGCCTCTACAAAGCATATATGCCAAGATATATACTGAACTATTAAAAAAAATTTAAAAATTTAAAAAATAATTCTTATGACTATAGCACCCATCCACCAAGTCTTTGATGTATGGATAGTATAAAGTGACAGTGTACACCAGATCCTTTAAATATAGCAATTTTTTTTAACAGCTAGCTTCTGAAAGTTTTTTCCTCCCATAGTATTTCTTCTTCCAACTCTATCTACAACCCAAGTTAGAAAAAGTAAACAGTCTCATCTACATCAGCAACTTCAAAACTTAGTTTTGCAGCAGCATTTATTTTCTCCCTTCACTGAGGGTTTATGATAGAAAAAAACACAATAAGACTTCTGTTTAGACAGGTGCTGTGTGAAACACATTGCACAAAAAATGTACAGCTGTTCCAGAGCATGACATGAAGGAGTGAAATCAATTACTAAGACATAAAAAATTCCATATGGGAAACACAATTAGATGCCTCTCAAAAACAGACAAGTTGCTGAAGTCCAAGTTTGACACCACAATTTTAGTTTGTACTCTATGTCAAATGAGGCAGAAACTGAAGATGGTCTAGAGCTGACTGAGAAGTTCATGTATAGATTAAAAAGTACTACTGATTTCAGTAGTAATACTTCTTAGCACATAATGCTTTATCTCGAAAAAGATCAGAAATTATTTAATGAAAAATAATCATAGAAAGCATTCAGCTGAGGAACATACTCCCTAAAGGAAAACAGTTCACCCTTCGATGAACTTTGAAGTATGTCATGTCAGCTTTATCAGAATATGGTTCCATAAACTAACTGTTGTGGAGCTCCATGTTGCACACATATATTCTGGATGGAATCCAGCACTCACTTCCATTGAACAAAAACTGTCAGACGTGAGACCAAAGGGCTAAAATACACAGGACCTACTATGTAGTAACATGCAGACATGAGAAACCACTTTGCAGCACAGAACTTTCCTGAAAGCATTTTTTGCCTTTCCCATCATGAAAGGGTGCTCTTCACTAACCCCTACAATCTCTCTATTCCACATACACACACGCCATTTCAGGGCTGTGTTACAGACAGCAATACAATATCTAGTGTTAAATCATCCAGATGAGTATGAGAGAAAGTAGTAGTTTGTTGTTAAGCATCTAAAAAATTAAATTTGGTTTGCTGGCCCCATATGAGACAGCTGACCTCTATGGGTGGGTCAGGCCTTAAGTACCTCACTTCATTAAGATAGGCTCAGTGTAGAGCTCTGAACCGCATACGTATCTGACATATCTGGTCTGGCAGCTCCTTCATCTTGTATGATGAATCTTAGATTAATGACTTTTCTTTAAGCTATAAACTTACAGCTCAGATTATTCTCCAGATCGGAAATGCTTGATTTCTTCCTCAGAGTTCTGACAAAGCCTCCACTGTCTATGAGACAAGAATATATCATTTCGTAGTAGCAGATGCTTTGACTGACAGGGCAGTTGCCCAGATAGAGCCTTTGGGATTACAGCAGATACACATAGTGGAGCCTGTGAAAGTTTCAACAGCTGCAATTGATAAAAATCTGTCTTCAGCTGCTCCTAATTTGGAGTGCACTTGACTCCCTGCTTCAGTTTGGGTCAAAGTAGGAGGAAATATGCCTAGTCAGTGAATGAAGAAGGCGGCTAAAACACCTAAAGATGGCCTAATACAATACAGTACATAACTTATCTTAAAATCTCCCTCAGGCCCTGATGAGAGTATAGAATATCACTTGCACTTAAGAGTTGCAGCAATGTTTGAAACACCAGCTAAAGCTCTCCTGTTCTACAGAACACCTATTATTTGAAATCAATTACACAACAGTTGCAAGTAAGCCAACCAACAATAGCTTACTAGCTCCCCCAAAAGACCGATTTTATGAGTTATGACTGCAGACATCTATTCAACCCATATTATGAGCTATAGCACCAATTCAGTTTGTTAAAGGCAAGAATAGCTTTTAACACATTTCTAAAGCTAAAAAAATGATGTAGTTTTGAAAAGTGTGCCATTTCTTATTTTGCTAATTTCTCTCAGAATGGATCCACACACTGTCATTTAATCTTTGAAGCCCTTAAGAAATTGCTTGCTGTTGCCTTAACAGAATCACAGCACCAATATCAACTTTAGATCTTCTGCAGCTCCATCACTTACCTGATCAAAGAGTTGCTTTCCTGTAGTGTTGGGCTGGATGGCAAACTCCAGCTCAGCATCCATGGTGGTAACACGCACACTGATCTGGAAAACAGAAGAGACATCATTACAATAGATGCTTCACCTGACACTACACATAATAATGAACAACATCATTTGCCTCCAGCCAGGGACCTGCTCCCAAGCCTCCATGAATTCCACTGCCAGTGATTATAAAGTCATCTGTACTGCCAGTACAGTGTTCCCAAACCCCATCACTTCAGTTCACTCACAAAATGTAACCTTCCTGTTTTCTAGTGTAAAAGTTTATCCTATCTGTTCCAATTTATATTCCCATCTACATACTTATACATGAGACAATTATTTACAGCTTATTTAGTTGTATTTCTGAGTTTAGAACAACACCCTGATATCTTTCACTAAAACAGACATCCCAGTTATACGCAAACAGACATTCAACTTCTTCCATGTGAAGGATGAATGTCAAGGAAGTCCCCAGATGCATTAACAACTCAGACTGCTGCAGAAGATGAGTGAGTACAGAACAATATTGTTCTAGTCTCCCTGGAGATTTTAAGAGATTATAAAGCACAACCCCTGGTATACTCGAAGGACTAGTGGTACAAAGCAGACAGGATGCAAGGATGACTTCATGTGCTGAGGCGAAAAGGATGAATACTGAACTAACACACACGTTAATATGTGCAGGCACTTCACAAAGAAGTAGAAGGATCGCTATGTAATTGCCTACTACCACCCAGTTCTTTCAGGGAGGTGAAAGATCTCTAAACAGTGAGGAAATGGTTATGTTGTCACTTGTTACACAGTCCAATTTCATAGCTGTAGATGTCTACACCAAAAAAAAAGTGAAATCATGAATCTGCACTAGTTAGGTTTAAATCAAGTGCTTAAAGAGACCACCACATCCAAACACATTTTGACATTTCCCAAAAGCCTTCTTGAACCTACTTGGGACTAGTCATGCCACTACTTGGTACTTGATAACCCTTGGTGATGAACCATGGAGTTTTCTTGTTTTAAGTTCAGCTCAAACTCTCAGTATCTGCTATAAGAATTTAAAGGTAGCACAGCAAAGCTGAAGTCATTAAGAGCAGCTGTGCACAAGGAAAACTATTTAGACATTGCTGTAGCAAAGATCATCAACAAGCACAATAGGAATAAATTGATTTTGAAATTTCTGAACCTTTTGACACAAAAGAAGTCAAACTGTAAAACAACCATCCCTTAGAAGTAGTAAGGAAAGAGAAAAAGGTTGGTAGCTTGTAATGAAAAGTAAAAGTCAAAGTATTGAAAGGCCACAATAAGGTCTCCCTGGAACCTTTTCCAGGCTGAACATGCCCAGCTTTCTCATCCTTTCTTCATAGGAGAGATGCTCCAGCCCCCAATTATCTTTGTAGCCCTCCTCTGGACTCGTAGCAAAAATCATTCTCCCCAGATTCTAGATGGTTGACAATTCGTTAGTTTCACAGTGCTTCAGTGAACCACAAATTCAACTGCTTGCTAGCAGGGCTGCAAACCCCCAAACCATCTTTTCTAGTTATAATTTGAAGCAGTCTTTTGAACCAGAAGGAGTGCTGGCTTCTAAGACTGTCTTGCCTAGGCCACATACCAGCAGCAAGAGTAAAGATGTCCATAAGCCACGGCTAAGAGGGGTTAGTTAAACTACTCATTAAGCAAGAATGTTGCTTTAAAGTCGCTCCTGTTCACCTACACCACTAATGTATCAGCTACCATGAAAAGAAATGGTCTTTTTGCTCCAGTGTTTATGGGATTAAAAAACAAACAAACAAAACAACAGTAGCTATCTTGGCTGATAACATCTGTATAAGTGATTGAAGGTTAAAGTATCTGAGCACAGCGGAAGCACCAGAAAACAAACATTTGTGGCAGCTCTTTGCAACTAGTGCCTGAATAACTTTAAAGCTCTTCATCACAAATTTTAAAGTAGAGCTGCTTCAGTAAGCATCATCACAGAACTGCATAATTCTTGCAGAAGTATTTGTAAGATTCAGATCTTTGTTAGCACAGTAAAATACAGACCTATAGATTCCTTCATTGTCATTCACTTAAAATGTAGTTAAGCTCCCTGACCAGTTATCATCCTTCAGTTAGTAAGTTCAGTAATTTGAAATGTACTTTTTTGCTTAGTAGAAGCCTTCTGTGCTCGAGATGAGTAGCAATCTAAGGTGTAGGAGCAGTACAGTCTTGAATGGGGTACACACTTCCAGTTTCAGGCTATGCTATTTTAGAAGACAGCATGAGCTAAGATACCACAGGAAAGAGCCTTTTTTTTTTTTTTTTTAAAAGAACCACACCCCAGTAACGTTAGCTTCCCTGATCTGAACAAAGTTTTAACACATTAAATAGCAGACTGCTGTTAAAGACCAGGGTGGTGGCACTTTGAAGCGAGTCCTGGGATGTACCACTGACATTTAATACAGGGCTGAAATGCTGCTGTAAATTTGAGCTTTGTTAAGCCTCATTGATGTGGGGGAAGAAAGAAAAAGAACACACATATGTATGCTACCAAACGGAATTTTTAAGCCAGTTGTGAACTGAAAAAACAAAGTGAGGTTTCCACCATTACAGGCAGCGGCAGGCAGTGATCTGCATTCCCAGTTAGCAGATAAGAAGTTCATTCAGAGCAGATGCAGCTTTACCGGGGTGTTTGTTTTTTTTTTTTTCCTCATTTCAAGAGCCTAAGTACTGGTACAGAAATACAAATTGGTTCTTCCAATATGTATAAAAGCCTGAAAAAACACAGAGGTTTTGTTCTGAAAGATACCCAGAGATCACTCTACTTTTGGGCAGTTCCACTGTTCCTTTAATGGGTTCTGTCTGCAGCTCAGACAGAAACTACCAGAGATCTATAGATTGCTGTAACCTCTGCCTGACAAGTAAATGCCAGGCACTGCATGCTTGCCTTCATTCTCCTCAATCATCTGAAATACTAGTTTCAGTTAAACCATCACACTGACGCACGCACAGCTGCGTACTGCCCAACACAGATGTTGCATACCCCTTGTGTAACAAAGTGCTATAGCAGAAGAAAGCCAGCATAAGCCAGTCCCATTATAGTTTAGACTCATCTGTTTGTCCTGTTCCTTGAGTTACCCTGCCAAAGTGCTTTTAAAACACTAATTTAACATTAGTGCTTACTCTAAACAAGAATAGCCTCAAAATTCACTAGCATTAGGGTTTTATACTTTTATTTCTAAACCATTTAATGAGGTTTTATTAGAATAAATATCCTAGCATCTACGTTTATTGTTTCGTAGATGCATCTCCCCTTGAGAAATAACTGTAGTGTATATATAACAGCTCTGTTCCCAGAAAAAAAAAAAAGTGTCTTCCAAGTAACAGTGCAGAAATGGTTAACCACTAGGCCTGAATTAAGACACTGCAATGACCCTTTTGTCTACAGGTGCTCAAACTTTGCCCCATAAAGACATGCCTGAAAAACTTAATTGCTTTTCCCAGGGGTGAATGTATCAAGACCACTAAAAATACTAGAATACTCTAGAACACAGTCAGACATGGAGACTGAACAAGACTATAAGAGTCTGATTCCTCATCAACACCTTCATCTGAGGGCGCGCATAACCATCAGTGCATTTACTGTTCTGGCTGCAAACAGAATAAAATGCTGCTCAGTAAGATAATCACCTTGGACTGCTGAGCATACACAGCTCTAGCTCTGTCATCCCAGACAAGCAAGACACATACTTCTTTGATGCTAGCAACAGGAGAAAACTGTGACAAAAAGACACTACCCACAACTGATCAGATTACAAGCACCAGAGTGGCAGCACTCATTCTCATTCCTTTTTCCAGAACTGACAGTTAGTAAACTCTTTTCTTAAGCTTTCAATTTTCAGGATGTATTTTTAGAGAACTTACTGAATTTCATCAACAACCAATTTACCAAGAATGCTATCCTATGCAGTAAGTTATACTGAAGCTCTATTTAAACTAACTGAATTTTTATCATCTTAGCATATATAATGCACTCAGTGATGCATCCAAGTGTCTGCAACCCTCAAGGTCTGCTTAGATCTTAAACTAGAAGTTTTACCGTGGCGGGTGGCCTATGAATAGGCTTTTGTTTTTCCATTATAATATAAAAAAGTATTTTGTATACAAACAGCTAGTTATATTGTATGATAAGCTTCTAGAGAAGGCCATCTTGCACATTACATGAAAGTTTAACTATTGCATTTCAACAGGCAACTTTACATTCACCAACAAAAAAAAAAATACTCAAGGAAAAAGCCCATATTTAACTGATTCATTTCATAATGGCTACAGGAAAGAGATAGAAACCTAGCAACTCTTCCTCTTCTCTACTTGAGGAATTACCATTGTTTTTACCAGTCTAAGCACAGCTACAGATTGCCACTACCAAAGCATATTAAAGCACTTCCTGTAGCCAAGGACAGTGGCTCAAGGAAGACCCCCTGCGCAAACAGAAGCTCTTGCATGGAAAACACACTGTTTTAGCTCCAAGAGCAGTCAAACAAAGCTCTTTTTGGTAGAGAAAAGCTTTTGTAACAGCACCCTCCTCACATGGTGTCTAGCAGACTATGGGAAACAGACATAATACCAGTACCATGCACCCATTTGCAACGTCTTTTCAGAAACATTAACATTGTCCACCCATATATCCTCAAGTTTCACTTTTTTCTTTTCACTTTTTGTGGTACCACTCAGATTCCCAATAAACTAGCAGCAATGATTATCAGTCCTCTTCCAGGTCTCTAAACGATCCTTACTAATAACCTGCTATAACTTCTAAGATGAGAGTTTGTAGTTGTATATGAAAGAACAAACAGGAAGGACTGATACCATCACACTGAATAACAGATGTATTACTTGTACTAACACCACAGTGTATGAAGCAGTGCAAGAGGTAGAACAGACAATTCTGTTTGTCAGACGGAGACAGGAACAGAGCACTAAGAAATTAATGTCAGAGCAATAGGTAGAGTCAGCACAACAGAGTATCAACCTCTACAGAACTCTGACCCTGAGTTAAAGCTTCTTTCCTCCCTGGATTTCCTGAA